TAGCTCACTACAGGAGTAAGACCTTTAAGAACGTACCAAAATATTGCTCTAATCGAAATCAGGTATGAAGTCACTAAGCTTGTGCTTTGCGCCGCAAGTACTGATTCCTGGATGATGACTTGTATGCAGCTTCAGATCGATCTTCTAATAGTCGAATCACGCTGAGGAAAGTGTACAGGATGTATCACTGCGAAACACTTCGAACCATTCAAAGATAACGAAGTTCAATGTAAAATATTACTTTGGGTCAAACACGTTCTGGAGGATTACCTGGTTGGTTCTGGTTTTGATAAACATGCGGAGAAAAACACGATAACAAATTGCTGTTTTTCATCGTGTCTGAAGTGGCTTGGACGTAAAAGTCCATAAAACATATGAAAGTACAGAGACGTGAAAACAGAAACACGATCATATACAACCTCCTGCGTAGCTAACTAATTTTTACAGACAGCGAAATATCGCACATCTTAAAACAACAAGAAAGAAATGCGCTTGCAGCTTCCAAAATAAGGTAGACCACGTAAGTTTAGCGATACATCCTGATCGTCTAAAGCTTGTACTGCAGATTAATTTGATCTGAATACGATTTTACTGATGATACATAGTTGTTTTTACCCAAAGCCATCCAAAACACCTTCAGCGGTAAGCGACAAAATGTTCCAAGTCAGACGTAAGTACGATTTTTGTCTTCTAATGCATAAACGATTGGGGTATGAGGTCGTTCACTCACGTCGTCCGATATATTTTACATATAAGCAAGCGCATTTTGCCGACTGTGAGCACCCATACAAAGGAAACCATCATCTCTTTCATATAAAACCACACAGCTTAAACCTGACCTCTGCGGACAGAGTATAACAAATAGGTACAAGTAGGTTACAACATGAAAACGCAACGTCTATAAAACAGGTGAATGTACGAGATTCAGCCGACTATTCAGCCTTTAAACAAAGAAGTCCACCGTTTCCAAAATGTTCCGGACCAATGAAAAAGTCAGAAAAAGCAAGCGATATGCAATGCGTACATACAAGTTTGTAATCTTGTCAGCAACCTGCCCAGTGGAATAATCATATTTTTTGTCCAAGAGATTCAGTTGAGTCCTTCATGAAAACCAAACTGATTTGCAACTGAGTGTATTTCTCGAAAACATTCACATTTGGGTTTAAGTAAATCATACGGTTGACGGAAACTCGGGGACTGCACCTAACTGATGAGCCCCAAGAAGGGCGAAACCGGTCGCTGGCTGTCGAAGATTTTTCAGCAACCCTGTAAGTAGCTTCCTACATGAAAATACGCTGCGATATCTCGAATATCGTGCCAACTGAAACATGAGGCGGCCTGTATCCAGCACATTCAGTTGGAAGGCATCATAAACGAGAGATTCAGTTGAGTCTCCCGTGAAGACCAAATTGATTTGCAAATGAGTGTATTGCCCGAAAACAGTCCAATTTGGGTTCAGGTAGAACATAAGGTTGATGGAAACTCGGGGACTGTGCCTACCTGATGAGCCCCAAGAAAAGCGAAACCGGTCGTGGGCTGTCGAAGAGTTTTCAGCAACCTTGTGTGTGGTTTCCTTCGTGAAAGTCTTCCTCTTTTTTGTTCTCATGCTTGCTGTCCTTTGGCATTTCCAAAAAATAGCCAAACTGTGGAAAAGGATCGATCATAGTTAGCTTTCCCGGGTTATATGATGTGCGAACATCTTAAGCAAAATGTAGTACTCCATATTTTCACCGTACTTGTCGATGTGATCACATAAGTGGATTTACCAAAGACAGTAATGTTTTCATTGAAAAACCTCAATAGTGGTTTAAGTTGAAAAACAATAATTCTATTTTAATCTTCCGAAACCTTGAATAGTTATGTTGCAGAGATATTGATTACGCAACACGGTGATTATCTTGACTGCTTTGAGAATAGATAAATATCGAAGTATTTCATGGCCTGCGGGACTCAGAACGTCGGGTCGTTTACTAGTAAATATTCACAGTACCCACCCTGTAAACGGAACTTTGATCCATGAGTCTCGACACGCGTGTACACGCCGAGGTACGTACCATTCCAACGTTTGACTGGCATTAACCCATTATCTTGAAAGATGTGATCTCCCTCATGGCATTAGAAATGGTGTGCTTCCACGTCTGATATGCCACACAAGAACTTGCCTATTGATTTCACCACTGGTGAGCCATGTAAAGTAGTTTGAAAGAAAAGAAACTGTGAAGTTTATCGTCCATTTGTATTTCTAGTGTCACTGTTAACGAAGCATACAAGGCGCAAGCATCAGCGCACCAGTTCTGCGCATGCTATTACAGTTCTGTTTGAATTCCACAGAAAAAGTTGCTGAAGACGTTCCTGAAAAAGTAAGAAGAATTGTCTCAGGTACTGTCACACAATGTACCATACTGTGTGTATTTAAACAAAAAAAAACATGTTTCTGGAAAGAATAGCTTATCACAGTGCCACGTATCTGAACAGTCTCGTGTAAACTGCAATGAACTAATAAGTAGAGTACTTTTTCATTTTGGTTGCGACGATGAGATTTTGTCTTCAGAAATCTTCCCATTAGCATAAAATCGGCCAGGCTTTAATCACCATTGTCACAGTCGTGAACATGGCTTTGCTTCTTATATTATCGTGTCCTTCAACCGTTATGCAACACCCTCCCGTTGGAGTTAACCGTTATGCATTAATAGTTTTGCTATGAAGGATAAAGCCTTGTTTATCACACAGCTTGACATGTGACTTAATGAACGACTCTAGCAAATCAACGATGTCGCTCAAGCGTGGACACATGCATCTTTTCGGACCTAAGAATTCAACTGCGTCTAGCGGGCGCAAGTGAACTTGTGGTAACACGCTCCCATTGGAGTTCAAATCGTGGCGCATCCGGGGATGTGCACTGCTGGTAGGCTTTAATAAGAGCGAAATGCGGGTCACGTGTCCCCCTCGTTCTTGTGGAAACACCAGAATAATTGCGCCAGGACAGATGAGTGGCCGTTCCAAATGGAATGGTCTGAAGTGAAATAAATTTGAACGGATATCAGGTATCTATTTCACCTAGCTTGTTGTATTTGACTTGGAAACCACTAGTAGAGCATTATCTCCTAGTAGAGCACATCATCTCCATGGTTCTCTTGCCCATGTCAACTTACATCACCCTTTCCAAAAGTGTATACTGGTTTGCAATCCTGGACACCCTATGGATTTTTTTAGTTTATCGTAGTTAGTGGGTTGAATGATTTATGGTCTGTTTATCGTGAACTGACTGTACATGGGTTACCAATCCACGCTCATCCGTTCAGCGCCTATTTTGTGCTGTCATATACTCATCTATCTGTCCCCATATCTGTCTAGTTGACTATCTATCTATCTATCTATCTATCTAACTACCTATCTATCTATCTATCTA